CTGATGATTTAGGGTCCATACAGCAGTACTGAAGCATAGTCTATCAAATCCCTATTTGAAACCCTCATTTGTGTAAAAAAGAAAGAAAGAAAAATAATGACGATAAGAGTAGACATGGAAACCTAAACCCGCATCTTTCACCGCATGCAGTCAAGTTGTTGGAAGTTAGTTGCTGTCAGTGAAACATAATTATATTAAAACAGTTTCCTACAACCAGACCCATCAAGGTACGAAGAAGTTTCTTATTTGTAAAGTATTACATACATAATACGTGGTTAGGTAATATCGTTCATTTTGTAGTGCGTGTTTTTTAACAGTATAACGGTCAGCATGTTTGAATGAGTTTATTGTTACATTTCTGTTCCCACGTTTGTTTTTCCCACAGAAGCAAGAAACGTGGGGTCAAAGGGCCATTGCTCAGCCATCTTTTAAAGCAGTGTCAGAACCCCACTTTAATAACCTGAGTTCGTGTCAGATATGTGCTTCTAAAATAACATATAAGAACGGCGGAGAAAATAAATATTTCCAGTTCTTAAACACCAATTTAAACTCCGAGACCTGCATTGATTTTTAACAAAGTGCTGGTCACACACAAAAGTAAGGAAGACATCATATTAGTTAAAAAGGAGTGTTTGGTTTTAAAGACAAGAATAAAAAATCTTTATACAGTGTGTACAATGCGTGGTTACAATCCGGTACTGTATATTTTATTCAGATAACAGTAAACTCCTGGGCCTACGACCCACATTTACAGGGCCCTCTGTAACACAAAATTAATGCTTGAACTACTACTTTGCACTTTTTCAGTTTAGTGACCATTGCCGCTATAATGCAAGTTTAAGTTCTTTAACCAAGTTACGAACGTTAATTAGTAGGCCTACGTACTTACGTGCTTTAATGTAAATCAATGGCAAATTTGGGATCTGCTTTGGGGGAATCCCCGTAAAAGTGTTTTCGTGAAATACCTAGGTTCCCTAAAGTTTTGGGTGAAATGTTTTACCTTTCTGCAAACCAGTGGGTTGTGTAAAAAAATTACGTTTGTGTAAACTTCCGGACCGAGATTATTCGTTTGGTATCACTTAGAAGTCGGTGCAACTAGTGATATAGGAAAAGTAGCGTGACACGCAACAGACACTCAATCTTATAATATTGTTGCGTCAGAGAGGTCACGTGGGTTGTCGGGGGATTGCTGGATTGGGGATGGCCTGGTGTGTGTGTAGCATGGTCACAACGTGACGGGACGGTGTGTAGGCAATGAGTAATTGAATGTATGTGGACAAAATATTGTTGGCCACGTGAGACGTGAGCGTTTTTTATAGAGCGACTGTTGAAATTAAGTGTTTCGTAAAGTTGTATTCGGAAAGAATAAACCAGTTTTATTTAAGAAAGGACTTGCGTCGCTAAAGTTTCGTCGGAACGAATTTACGGAAAATTAATTAAGGACTGGAGGCGTAACAATATGTTACGTATCTGGTCGTTTGCCAATTTCCCGTAAAAATTATTTCCGAAGAACTTCAGCGATACAAGTCCTTTCTTAACTAAAACTAATTTATTCTTTCTTAACACAGCTTTGCAATACACAGAATTTCCACAATCGCTTTAATTAACACACGCTATAATTCACAACGATTCGCCCACTTTACTTACGGTCACTACCGCTCACTCGACTCGATTACTTGTCCCTATATCTCCCTATCTGCCCTTATTTATGCCGTCGCTCTCCCTC